AGGTGTGCACCCAGAACCCCCATCCCCCACCCCCCCTTCCTCCTCTGTCTCAGCCCAGAGAACCCCCAGTGGGACCGTGGCTCTGCCTCAAGCTATACTTGGCTCCTCCTCTGCCTGCCCCTCACTCCCCTTCTTCCCTGGACTCCCCTCCACCCGGGTCCCACTGTCCCTTGTGACAGCCTAGTCCCTCCCCCACAGTGGTATTTTTCCTCGGCAAGGGCAGGGGTGGGGAGCCACGCAGCCCCAGGCTGCAGCCGATGGGGGCAGAGCAGTGGGGCACGTCCAGCCTTTGGGGTGAAGGGGATGAGGCCCAGCTGCTGGACTCCTAGCTCTGGGTGATTCTGCATTCCAGAGAGCAGGGCCTTTGGGGTGGCTGGGGGAGGGTACCAGAGACTGGGGGCTCTGGAGAAGGAAGGAGCAGGAGCCTTGGGGGGCTGTCCAGGAAGGGCTCCCTGGTGACCCACTGTGTGCCCGCCTGGTGGCCAGCCGGGCGGGGGGAGGGTACCAGAGACTGGGGGCTCTGGAGAAGGAAGGAGCAGGAGCCTTGGGGGGCTGCCCAGGAAGGGCTCCCTGGTGACCCACTGTGTGTCCGCCTGGTGGCCAGCCGGGCATTGGGGGGCTGCCCAGGAAGGGCTCCCTGGTGACCCACTGTGTGTCCGCCTGGTGGCCAGCCGGGCACTGTGAGCACAGGGATGTCTTTAAAGAATTTAGGATGTAGTTGTGGAGATAAGACAAACATGCAAAGCAGTTTTGGAACAATTAAGCAGCAAGCAGTGTGGTATTAATTATAAAAGCAGGAGGCGTTCTGGGAGGGAGGGTGAGTGTGGGCTGGAGTGGCCTGAGAAGGCTTTGTCAGGAATTTTGCTGGACGTTGGAGGTAGGACGGGGTAGGGTTTAGATTAGAGGATGGTGAGCAGGGCCGGATACTCTGGGAGGTGGGGAGACAGTGGTATTAGCAAGACCTGGCATGCTTGGGGCTGGGGGTGCCTTTCTGGGGAGGGCTTTGGTCTGAGACAAGCTGGAGCGACCTTGGCCTAGGGCTGCCGTCAGCTAAGCCTCCTGGGGACAACCTTCCTGGGCTCCTTCTCTCCCCGCCCCCCCCCCACATGGTGGTCCACAGGAGGAAAGTCTCAGCAGGACTATGGTGCTCAAGGGCGAGACTTTGGAGGGGCTCCTTCCTGATGGTGTCCCCAACCCGGGGCAAAAGTGGGATGTGGGGTGGCACAGAGGGGTGGCTCTCAAACCAGCAGCAAGCCCTGCGAACCTGTCAGACATGCAAGGTCTCAGGCCCCAGCCTAGACCTGCTGAGCTGGGCGGAGGTGCGGGGTAGCAATCGGTGCTTTAACAAGTCCTTGTGTGGTATAAAGAGGAGCCTGGCTGGGTGGCGGGGACACCTGGGGTAGTCCCACCTCTGCTGTGTGACCCTGACAAGCCCCTCTTCTTCTCTTGGGGCCTCAAGTCGACTCAATCAGGCTCTGAGTTCTCTTCTCTGACCCCCAGGACTCTGGGCATGCCTTCGACAACTATCTACCGAGCAGCTGCTTTGTGTCCGACACCCTTCTAGGCCCTGGGCTGCGTTAGTGGAAAAACAGAAATTCCTACAGAGCTTACATTCTGGCCTACAAATGAGGCTGTGGTCTGGTGGGTGTGGGAGTCACAGGGTCCCACTGTGCCCTCTTGAGAGTCACTGTACACTTGAGCATCTTAAAGGCTCTAAGTCCCATGAGAAAGAAACACATTTGATTTTGTTAAATTCCTAAACTTGTTTAACTGCGGAATTTCTCCTGGCTTCTCACCCCCAACTCCCCGCCACTTCTGAACATGCTTGTGTTCCCTAGAACATGTTTGGAGGTGCTGACTACAGACAAGGTCTTGATGGGCAGGTGAGAGGGAGCAGCCTTCCTGGACTTGCAGTTGAAAGGCTCTTCTGTCATGGTCTGGGTGCCCAGCTGCCTGGGAGACAGGGAGGAGACAGAGCTTCTGCAGGGAAGAGACTGTGGCCTGGACGTGCAGAGCTGCCATGGCCTTGCAGCTGGCTCCTGAGCTGCCTGAGGCTGCAGAGAGCCTGGGGTGTAGGACAACACCAGCCTGTACGGTGCCCTTCTGGAAACTATAAGTTGCCCCCTCCAGGTAGGCACAGGCCTTGGTGAGCGGATGCCAAGTGAAAAAAGTGTCTCTCCCTCTGCCAGGAAGGAGGACTTGGCTTGTGAAGGAAGCCTGGGCTGATGTCAGCCCTCCCTCACCCCTGGGCCGGTGCCTCTTGCAGGGCACATGCTGGCCTGTCTGCAGATGTGACACCTTCTTGAGTACCTGAGGAAATGATCTCACAGTCCTTCAGTTGACCACAGATGGCTGTGCAGGAGCTCAGGCGTGGAGTCCCAGCCCTGCCTCTGAGTCCCCAGGTGGCTGATGCTGACACTTTGACCACAGACACTCAGTCCCTTTACATGTGGAGCGTTTTACCAAAGCATCCCAAAGCGCCATGGCAGGCAGGGCCAGACCTCCCAGGGCAGCAGGGGAGGCTGCTCAGCCCAGATCCCGGCCCTCTTAGGAGAGAGGGCCTGTGACAGCCGGGCCTGACTCCCAGGGGGTCTGGGCCCCTGCACTGCTCCCTTGTGTTTCTGTTTCCTCTCTGGCAAAGTGTCGGCTCGCTTCGTCGCTGCTTGTTCCGCCGGCTCAGAGCCAGGCCCCAATGCACAACATCTTTGAAACCGCGTGGCATGACTTCACAGAGAGGAATGTGCACCGAGGGGTGTCTGTGCTTAGGTGTCACCTGGCTTCTTCCTTCCGCCCCCTGCCCGGCCCCTTGCAGAACCCACGCTCCTTCATAGCTGGGTGCTGACTGCCTTGCCCTTCTGGAACGTGGCTCCGAGGGCAGGGGCAGGGCGATGGCCACTTGGGGGGGGG